CAGTTTTGGGAATATGATTTATAAGGAGAAGCGAGAAACTGTTAGTAAAGAGGATCTGGCGAGAGCTACTTTAGTTACTATCACCAATAACATTGGTTCTGTGGCACGAATGTGTGCTGTTAATGAGGTAAGAATACATCCAAGAACTTTTAATTATACAGAATACATCTGGGTACAGTGGTATATGCCTTTAATCCCAGGGCTCAGGAGGCAGAGCTCTATGAGTTTGAGGCTAATCTACCTAGCTAGTTCCAGGCCTTTGGGGTTATATAGAGAAACCTTATCTTTTTGTTCTATTTTTAAATAAAAATAAATTGATTCCTGTGCATCTGACAGAACCCCTTATTTTCCATTGAGGCCTCTCAGATTGAGATCCATTTCTTTACACTCTCAAATGGATAAAATATCTTGTTTACCTAGTTTACCAAAGAATTGTTTTTATTTTATTTTATTTTTTTTTTAAATGAGAAATACAGCACTCGGAGCAGAACAGGGCAGATCTCTTTGAGTTCAAGGGCAGCCTGGGCTACAAAGAGAGTTCCAGGCCAGCTAGGGCTACACGGTCAGCTTCTGCTTCAAAATAACCAATAAAAAGAAAGAAATACAACAAATATGCAAGCCCTTTGGTGTTCAGTCCCCAGCCCTATAAAATAAAAAGAACCAACTTGGGGCCAGACAGGACAAATAAGTATTTATTCTCAAAATGTCTTCAGAAATGAATACACAGTCTAAATCTAAATGGGAGTGAAATATAAGTGTAAAACATTTTGAGATAACTATTGTGGAGTCTTTGTTTATAATGAATGGAGTATTCAATTAGTGAGATACTTGGAAATTTTCTTACTGCCCTCGGCTTCTTTACAGTGCTGCCTTGTTGCATATGGATCAAGCAGCATTGTACAGGGCTATGAAGGCATTGAGACTTGTTCTTCACATGCTGTCTGAGTAATGTGTCTTGCTTGCCTTAAGAAAAATATGGAGGGTTGGGGAAATGGTTCAGTGACTGCTGTGCAGAGGACCTGAATTTGAATCCCTAGCGCCCATGTAAGAATCCAGATGTGGCTTTGCGCCTATAACCCCAACAGGAATGAACAAGGAGACAGGAGGATCCCTGGGGCTTGCTATCAGTAGCAAAACTCTTACTCTTCAACCTAAACTATTGTTTTTTAACTTTACGTGCATAGATATTTTACCTGCACGTGTGTCTGCACCATTTACATGCAGTGCCTGTGGAGGACAGAAGAAATCATTGGATTTCCTGGGACTATTACATGTGGTTGTGAACAGCTAAGGTGGTGCTGGGAACAGAACCCTAGTTCTCTGGAAGATCAGCTTGTGCTCCTAACCACTGAGCCATCTCTCCAGCACACAAACTATGTTTTAGTTAATGTATGCCTCCTGTTCCGCTGCCTCCATATCTTCCTCTTTCTCAGCTTTTATGTTATTCACCCTTCATGCTCCCCTTACCCAATCATTGTTACTGTCCAACTCTGTGGAGGGACCAGGTTGCATTGCATGGTACATGTTTACAACATAACTAGATACTACTTTTTACATCAATGTTAGGTTTGCAGTAAAACTGAAATAGGAAAGTACAGGCTGTTGTCACATCTTCCACACATGCACACAGATTCTCTGATTCAGCATACTCTGGATCTTGGTTTATTTAGCTATAGTCCAAGAAGATGTAGGACATGACATCGGCACTAAAGTCCACAGTTCATATTTGACATTAGAGTTCACCTTTAATTATCTAATTCGTGAATAATCAGAAGTATAGAACTGTATGCCAGGTACTAATTAATGGCATAACGTTCTTACATGAATATTTTTAATGCCCTAAAAGTCACTTGCTTCTTTTCTTTCTTTCAGAAAATAAACAGAGTTGTCTTCGTTGGAAACTTTCTACGTGTCAATACTCTCTCTATGAAACTTCTGGCGTATGCTTTGGATTACTGGTCAAAAGGTCAATTGAAAGCATTGTTTCTAGAACATGAGGTATGAAAACAATTTTTTTTTTAGTTATTTAACAGCATGTTTTGTATGAATTTTCTACATTTCTATATGTAAAACTATAAATATATGTGCATATGTGGAGACCAGAAGACTACTTCAGGTGTCATTATCAAGAACACCATCCCCATCTTTGAGACAGGGTCTCTCATTGGCATGGTGAGGCTGTATTGGTTGGACAGCAAACCCCAAAGATCTGCCTCCCCACATCTGGGCTTATAAAGATACACCACCACCTAGCTTTCCTATTTTTATTTTGGTTTAAGGAATCAAAACACCATCCCCATCTTTGAGACAGGGTCTCTCATTGGCATGGTGAGGCTGTATTGGTTGGACAGCAAACCCCAAAGATCTGCCTCCCCACATCTGGGCTTATAAAGATACACCACCACCTAGCTTTCCTATTTTTATTTTGGTTTAAGGAATCAAAAATTCAGTTCCTTGTATTTACAGATTGAGCTATTTTCCCAGGCCTGGGCTTTGTTATAACAAAGGATTCTTTTTAATTCCCTCAGTGTATTGTAACCCACCCCCACCCTGAGAAGTAACTATTGTAAACTTTTGAAATCTGTAAGATTTGTTTACCTAGTTCATCTTGATGGTATACTCCTATAATCCTAACAGGCAAGATGTTAGCCTAGGTTTGAAGCTGGTTTGAAGTCTGCTCTATATAAGTTCGAGGCTAGCCAGGATTACATGTCATGACCCTGTATTCAAACAAACAAATGAAAAACCAAACAGCTTACTTCCTAGATTTTTTTCCTATTTTTATAATGTCCAGTTAAATTCCAATCTGTGCAGTTAATCAGTCTCTTATAATGAAATCAGATGCTTACATTATTTTGAATTAATAACATTCAAAGTGTTGCTACAATAAGTTTCCATATCTCATTGTTGCAGCTTTCGGTACAAATTGGAATGGAATGTTGTCTTACCCTTCTACAAGGCACACACTAAGAGTGTCAAAGCTCCAAGGAGTTTTTTGTTTGTTTATTGACTAAAGGGAGGGAGAGGGTATAGGTTTACTATATTAGTTGTTTAAATGTTAGTGTCTAAAAGCCATAGTTTAAAGATAATTATTTCAAAAGTGTATGGAATGCAGCTTAACATTTTTTATTGCAGTCTGTAGTAATGACATCCTTTTGACCTCTAGTTTTATTAATTTATGTCTATTTTATCAGATTGACTAAGAGTTTGTCAATCTTACTAACATTTTCAAAGAACCAACACTTTGGTTGATTTTGTATTGTTATTTTAATCCCGATTTCATTAATTTCTTCCATGATACAATTTCTTGCTGTTGCTGTGCTTAATATTGGCTATTTGTTTGAGCCTTGGGGCTGCATCATTAAGTTGTTTGCTATCTCGCAGGGTTTTGTTTTTTTCGAGACAGAATTTCTCTGTGTAGCTTTTTGAAGCCTGTCCTGGAACTCACTTTGCAGACCAGGAGGGCCTCAAACTCAGATTCACCTGCCTTTGCCTCCCAAGTGCTGGGATTAAAGGCGTGGGCCATCACCGCCTAGCTGTTTCTGGTTTTTCATGACAGGGTTTCTCTGTGTAGCTCTGACTGTTCTGAATCAAGCTAGCCTCAAACTCAGAGATCTACCTGCCTCTGCCCCTCCCCAGTACTGGGATTAAAGGTGTGTCTTACCACACCTGGCTAGTTCTTTTTATTTAATTCAGTCCATTAGTCTGTATCTTTTTAGTGGTGAATTGAGGCCATTTACATTTATTAACAAGGAGAGGGTTGCTCTTTTCAGAAACTAAGTGCTTATTTGCTGGGTGGTTGGTCTCCTTTCCTTTTGTATTAGTTTTGATGGTTTGCTGGGTTCTTTTAAACTTAATGCTTCTTTCCTGAATCTAGTTTATTTATCTTTTGTGGAATGTATATCCTTTCCTGTATTCATGTGAAGAAGACTATATAAATGTGTGTTCTTGAGCCTGGCCATGGTGGTGCACACCTTTAATCCCAGCACTTGGGAAGCAGAGCCAGGCGAATCTCTGTGAGTTCGAGGCCTACAAAGCAAGATCCAGGACAGGCACCAAAACTACATAGAGAAAACCTGTCTCAAGAATAGATAGATAGATAGATAGATAGATAGATAGATAGATAGATAGATAGATAGATAGATAGATAGATAAATGTGTATTCTTAACAAGTAAATTTAAAAAGCTACATTGCCTTAAACTGTTTAAATCATGCAGGGATACTTTGGAGCCGTTGGTGCACTTCTTGGACTGCCAAATTTCAGCTAAAACGTCAGAGAACTTTATGAAGAAATGTCATCCAGGAGGAACTGATCCAGAGACTGTATTCATTATTTGTCACTGGGAACCAAAGGATAAAAGAGTAACACTATTTGTGTTGATTTTAAATGTCAGAACGGTGAGCTCATGAGCTTTGCTGCCTGGAAAGACCTCTGTAATGGGAAGTATTCCTCATTGATTGTCCCCTGTGTGTATATATAGCCAGCGTTCTATCTTATATGCAATACAGCTTCTTGATTGTTGAACTTTTCTCAAAAAATGATTTTCTATTTATTTGATGTAGCCAGCATTGTAGTACTGTATGTTCAAACACAAATCTTCAAATCTCAGAAATGTTTGCTTATGCAAAATAATTAATACTAAATATTTGTTGAGTGTTTTATATGTTTGGTTACTAGTGAAGAGGAAGTAACATACTCTGTATCATAATTTATTGTACTGGCAATCAAAGATGATCATTTTCTGTGACTTTAGAAATGTTAAGGCAATATTAAGTATTAACTATGGTAGTAGTTTTATAACATATCCTCTTCAACAAAGCATGTCTCTATGACCTCTCCCCATAAATACAGTTTTCTCTCAGTTGATGAGTTGAAATACTGTATTTAAACATGAACCTGACTTTTTCTTTTGAATCCCTGAAATTTTTTGCACATATCTGGTGGCGTTAAGTTTTCTTTATTTCACACATCAATCAGTATATGTGTTAAGATGTTTACTGTTTTAAAATGGGGGCATAATCACATACTTTGGAATCTGCCTAAGTCCTCGGACTATTCAGATGGAATTTGGTTAGACTGAGTGACATTCTGTTCTTTCCCAACTATGTGTATCTCAGACTCAAACATACGCATTTCTTCCTTCTCATTAAGACACAGATGAAAGCTGACTTTTATCCTGCTATAAACAGCAAAGGGCAGAATCAGATGTTGTCTAAAAGGGTATTTTGAAACTGTGTGACTCTGAGGTAGTATTGCTGAGTTACAAATGGATCAGTATTTATGATTTTTGGTCATAAAAGCATTGCAGATCCAAAATTTGTCTTTGCTTCTGCCTTGGAATTCTTGTTTTTGAATTCCTGATTTTATAATGTTAAATCTCTCAGATTTTACATTTGCAGTAACATTTTAGAGGCCAGTAGTGTGTCATAAAGTTGAATCTGTAAGGGAAATGGACCTGTATTAATTACCAATATTTCTGGAAATAACCTTAAAGAGGTTAGAGATTGTCTACACTTCAAATAGTATTTCAGTGTGGTTTCTGAGACCCTAGTGTTCTGTAGTAAGAAGTTTCCACCAGACTGTCAGGAGGTGCTTGATAAGACAGATCTCCATGTAGTTTTCAGATTTTATGTGCAGGTATTTAAAATTCAGTTTTCTTCACCTAAAGATATGAACATACAAATAGTATTTGGGGAATGTTTGAAGATAGTGTTTGCCCAGTAGACTGCTTGGAACTTTGAAATCAGCCCACTCAGACATTGAAGTCTACCATGATGTCTTTGTCAGTGTTTGCCGGAGCAGTGGCCAGTTCCAGCTAGAATGCCACTGCTTCCTTTATTATAAAGGTTTTGACTCAAGTGTTTATGCAGATAATAAAATAATTAAATGATAGAAACTGCAGATTTTCTACCTGTGGAAATTCTATACATCAGCAACTATAGGTTTAGAGCTGTCTTTAAGAAGAGATTGAATAGTGTTCATATTCACTTGATCACTATGCTTTGGGTAATGTGGAACTAACACTTTGTCATTTGGAACTGAGATTGCCTACTAAGATCCATGTAACATGAACCAACTAGCTCATCTATTTACCTTTTTCCAAGTGTAATCTATAATTATGAATTAATAAGAACACAGAATCATGATTGATAAAGGCTGCCAAGATTCTAATCTGCTTTATATTGCTCTTGAACTTCCCTGTAAGCATACTGTCATAAATAGGTTTGATTCTAATATCAATCAGCCTAATTGCCTAATTGAAGGTCTGTGTTTTGGTATGGGGGATTTTGTTTGTTGGTTGGTTTTTTGTTGTTTAGTTTTTTTTTTTTTTGTTTGTTTGTTTGTTTTTTTTGGTTTTGGTTTTGGTTTTGGTTTTGGTTTTTCGAGACAGGGTTCTCTGCGTAACTAACAGTCCTGGCTGTCCTGGAACTCTCACTACATAAACCAGGCTGGCCTCGAACTCAGATATGCCGTCTGCCTCCCAGAGTACTGGGATTCGTGCAGCACTACCGCCCGGCTAAGGTCTGTGTTCTTAAACAGTGCCATTTAATAGAACTAAAATGTAAACCATGTATAATTGTATATTTTCTAGTAAACACATTAAAAACTAACAAAAAATAGATGAAAATCATTTTAGTACATGTGGGGTTTTTGCTTTTGTTTTTTTTTTCTTTTTCTTTTTTTTTTTTTTTACTAGTATCTGATGTGTTATTTCAGTGTGAAATCAGTGCAAAAATTTTTTTTGGAGATATATTTTGCCCTCTTTTGTTTTTGTTTTTAATTACTTAGTCTTCAGTTGATATACATTTTAAATGGCACGTCTCAATTTGGACTGACCACAATTAAGATTTCATAGCCACGTACATAACTAGAGCCCACTGTGTTAGTATTTTTCTAGAACTACTTCTGGTTTTGTTTTTGAGACAGAGTCTCACCTATGTAGCCCTGGCTAGCCTGGAACTGGCTATATAGACCAACCAGATAAACCTTGAACTCAAAGAAATCCACCTGCCTCTGCCTCCTGCACACTGAGACTAAAGGTGTGTTAGAATTACTTAAAAGAGAATGCTATTGTGTGTCCATGAAAACTTTATGAATATGAGCTTTTAAAAGAATGAAATGGGGGTGGGAATTTTTTTTTTAATATAAATAAGATCATTTATTTGGGCCAGTTTATTTTACACAGAGAAGCTATTACTGACTATCCAAAAATATTGATATGTTGGCATCATGTCATCTCTTGTAGTGTATGGGATTTTTCTAATATCTGATACTGATAAAACTGCCTATGATAATCTTAGTAGTTAGCAATCTCCAAACTAATTGATTTCCTTCACGGAAGCAAAATTAATTCCAGGGACTTTGTTTCTAAAGTTTCTGAGTTTTGTGCAGTCAATTTTGAAGGATTACCAAGAAACATTTTTTAACTTGTTGTCTTTTTTATATTCAGAGAATCTTTATAAAAATTCTGATAACTTCAAATGCTAAGAGCATTGTCAGCCATGGTTTTGGTGGTAGATTGCGCACACAGAGATCTAAAGTACCACCACTCCCCCAAAATGTTGCCTTCTAACTAGCCTTCTAGGCTTCTGGTCCACAGTCACATAGGTTAGCATGGCATTTCCTTTCTCAGCTACTCTAAGTAGGTGGAGAACTAGTGGATCCCTCCCTTGGATAAAGTCATTGCCAAGGCCAATAATGTGCATGATAATTGAAAGCCAGCCTCTCAAGAGGTTCTCATTATTTGTAAAATCTGGACTCTTTAAAAACTCTAAATTGATGTTGCCCCTGAGAATGCATGTGATTGCTATGTTTGAGAAACCCATTCCTAAAAGATAATGCTGTTTGGGGGGTTACATTCTTGGGTGAAAAGCTTGGCCTGGCCGTAGTTCTTAAATATTCCTTATAAAACCACTTTGTTAGAAACAAAGTTCTTTCATATTTAGTTTATTTGTATCTGTTTTCTTTTGTTAAGCACTTTATCTTTGTTAGTGTGCTGCATTTGCAAATATAATTCAGAAATTCTAAATTATGTAAAAAAATGATAAAGCATAATAAATGAATGTCCTTTTTTGCATTCAACTTGTTTTGTACTATATGTAATCAAAATACATTCTCTTAAATACTCTGATTTTAAAGTGATTCCTTCGAAATGTCAGTGTTGTCTTTTCCCAGCCAAGCCCCTGTTTACAGAGTGTGATTTATTCTGACAGTGATGCAGATGGGCTAGCTTCATTTGTGTCAGCAAATAATCTTTGGTTTGGTTTTGTTTGGTTTATGCTTTTTGAGACAGGGTCTTTCTATATAGTCCTGTCTGTCCTGGAACTTGTTATATAGACAAGGCTGGTCTAAAACTCACAAGAAATCATCCTGTCTCTGCCTCCCAAGTGCTGGTGATAAAGGCATATGCTACCACACCTGGCCTGCATCACATAATCTTACAAAATTGCTTTTTGTTTGCAGTTTGTAACAATTGTCTTTTCCAATGAGTCTCATAATGTGAAATTTTTTTTTTCTTGAAGATTGTGATAGCTGGTTCGAAACAGCAATGTGAAAAGAGACTGTCCCAGGGTTTCTGCTGTCTTATTTCTACTTAGAAAATATTAAAATGTTTTTGCAAAGCACTCCTTATTGGTCCTACTGTGCTGTCTTGTATATATTCAGTACATGTGGAGTTCAGATTTGATAATGTTTTATGGTGTGCTGGTCATTGGCCCAGCTTCTTTGAATGTCACTATCTCTATTTGTAAGCTGGAAATTCAGTGGCTGCCATGGGAAATGACATAGTTGTCAGTAGCCCGAGAGGACAGCTGCCCCGTTCCTGGCAGTACTTAGGATGACTTCCATGTTTTCAGTGCTTATGTAGTAGTTTAACAATAAGTACTTATTATTCTCCCCGTTACTGCCCTTGATAGCTGTTGGAAAGTATGTGCATACATTCATCTGTAACTTGAATTTTAACCATTAACCTAAAAATTATGTAGGGATTATTACTACTTTTCATTTGTACAAGAGGAAACCTGCCCCTCTAATTCAGAGAGTTAAAGCCCCTCTGAAATTGCTGCAGTTGTCCAACACACAGTTCCCAGCCACATTTACAAGATGAAAATGGAATTGCCTGCAAGTAGGTTGAAATGGCCCTAATGAGGCAGGCAGAAGACCTAAAGTCTTTTCTGAGCTTAGTGGGATAGACCTGTGTCCGACAGCAATGTCCTTACTTCTAAAAGTGAGAGCTGATGCTGGAATCTGCTGCTGGCTCCCAGCATTGTGCTTAGATCTGATCTTCATTCACAAACTAGTTTGTTTTCTAAACCAAGGTTTTGGTTCTGCACCTCATAACTGGCTGTTGTTGGCCTAATCCTACATGTAAATCACTGGTCTGCTGCAGTGAGTGAGGATCAGATACATAGTACCCACTATGTTTGAGCCACGCAAATTTGTCATTTTACCTGAAGTTGAAAGGCATTTTTTCAATTCTTCCCAGTTCTGATGAAGTCATTCCTAGGTGTTTTCTGTCCCATTTTGGGAATCTTAAATCTGGGCTTATTTTACTTACACATGTCAGTTTGGTGTAAGCGCCTTACTTTGTTGGTTGCATTATTCTTACTAGGTCCAAGCTTTGTTATGTTTAGATTCTTCTAATATTAAATCTGTGTAAAAATGTATGATATGCTACAAACTTTATGCATAATAAGACTAAGTTATAGCCTATTGTAACCTATAAAACATTTCTTGTAAATTATCTAATTTATTTTTCCATTTATGTACAGTTTCTTAATGTAAATTTTTTAAATTTGTTGTGGCCTGCTCTAAACATTCCCATGCTTTTTCCCTTAATGCTTATATGCATGAAAGAATCTTGGGTTCTTCATTTGTACTATGTAGCCAGCCTTTAAGCCAACTTCAGGGTGTCTACCTTTTCTGTAGTTTCTAACTTTTTCTAATTTGTTAATATTATAAAAAGTGTTAGAATCATGCTTCTTATACCCTACTTTCAAAATAAATTCTCTTATTTACTAAAAAAAAAAAAAAAGAAAAAAGAAAATGGTTTCCCTACCCTCTGACCCTGCTTCTGCAGCCAGTTGCTACCAAAACATCAGGCCCTGAGTAGCTTCCTGCAGCAACAGCCCTGTGAGCAGTGGCCACGCCTTGCACTGGCCACGCCTTGCACTGGCCACGCCTTGCACTGGCCACGCCTTGCACTGGCCACGCCTTGCACTGGCCACGCCTTGCACTGGCCACGCCTT